TGTGCAGGAGTTGGTGGAGAGGAGGCGGACGATGATGGAGGAGTTCAGGAAGTACCGCAAGATGGCACAAGAGCTGTACATGGAGCAGCGGAACGAGCGCCTGGAGCTCCGCGGAGGTGAGCCATGGACAGGCCCTGCTGCTGGTTAACTGCTGCTTCTCACTGAATAAATACCTTGTCCTGGGGGTTTGTTCACTTCTCCTCTCCCTCTGTTTCCTGCTAAAGCGAGTCCCTTGTTCTCTGAAGGTTATTTGTACTTTTTTATTCTGAATCGTGACAAGATTTAAGGGGGGGCGGGGAAAGTATTGGCTTGACCTTGGGATAAAACTGTGAAGAGATTTGCATGTTGCATTTAACCAGAAAATCCCTAGGAGCCCTGTAGTGGAAGACATAATGCCTTGATTATCATTCAGTAAATTTAGCATGTATTTGTTATGAGTTAAAGCACCAAATACTTCCATTTTTCACTGCTGGTTTAAGGACTTTTTCTGCCAAGAGCATCAAATCTTTCCATTGCTGCCTCGTTTGATGTATTCAGTGTTAATATTTTTCTCCATTGCAGGGGTAGACACAGATGAGCTGGACAGCAATGTTGATGACTGGGAGGAGGAGACTGTGGAATTTTTTATCAATGAAGAAATTATTACCCTTGCAGAACCAGAGTAATTAATAAAACTGTGGTAAGATAACATAACTCTCAGTAGAGAGAAACTTTTTCAGTCAACTCTTGATATAGATTGGATAATTTGCTTGAGAGAGTCTGTTGCATGGGTGTATTGTTCTTTAAGTTGGTTTGTTTTCTCTGTGGTTAGAAGGGTCAAAAGCTTTTAGAGAACTGATTGCAGGCAGTCAGCTTTATGAGTTGTACTGAGCAGAATACTCTATGTCCTGTTTTGCCAGAGAGATCAAACCCACAACAGTCAGGGTCAACCTCTGAACACAGTGTTTTGCAGACGCTGTAAGTTCTGTCAGTAGGAGGAATTGTAGTTGGTATGAGATAGGAATTTTGCCTTTTGAAAGGTTTACATGTTAGTTCAAGACCTGACAGCATTTAAATACTGTGTATTATACAGCAAGTTGACTGTGGGCTGATAAAAGTTTGAGTGAACTCAACCATTGTTTTCTAGAGAAGTTGTCTAGAATTCTGATGGTAGCAGGTTTTTGTGTACTGTCTGTCATGGCTTCTTGCTGAAATCTTTTATTTAATCCAGGGCTTTTCCCAGTTGCTTTTTGTGAATTCATATTATATATTTAATCTTGAAAATGGAGGCTACTTTCAGCCCCTTGTAAGAAACGTCCTTTAGGGAGCTTAATGTTGAATTGAGGAGAAAAATTACTTTGCTAGTGAAGGCATGTGTAGGATCTCACTTAAGGAAGAGGAAGGGGAGACTGGAAATGTGCCTTTTGCAGCTGTAAGTCACCATGTAGCTCTTTAACCTCCAGATATCTTAAGGAGCTCAATGAAACATGTACCTCTTGGAGTTGTAGAAAATTTAATAGCCTTGATGCCTTTGAATATATTTGGATCTGGCTTATCTGTGTCCCTTACATGGGAAATCTTTTTATGGAAGAGAGAGAGAGAGAAGCTGCTTAGTGTATGGATTTAAACAAACATGAGTTCAGGAAGAGGTGAAACACAAGCTGATGAAGTCTTTCACCAGCTGGCAGAGGTTGAGCTGTTGGTATAAAAGCACAGTAACTAACTCACCTCTTCTTTCCTTTTCTGCAGCACCACCAGATCTTGTGCTGAAAAGAAGTTTGTTCATTTTCCGAAAGCCTATATCAACTTTGGAATTCTTTATCCATATTCTTGCACTCTGGAAGGGTGGATGCACCAGATTTTCTCCATTCTGACACATTGTAGTGCCTTTAAGTCTTGCTGCCTGCTGCAGTGAGATACTGGAAAGGCGCTGCTTTTAAATCTTTATTCTTTTTTTTTTTTTTTTTTTTTTTTTTTTAGGGTTTGATTATTATTTTTTTTTTTCTTTTTAAATCCACTACTACCAGTATTTACTTCCTGACCCCTGTGCAGTCCTTACCAGCTGGCAGTTTTTGCCTATTGCCAGTGAGGTGGGATTCACCAGTGCACCTCTGTCTCACACGCACGATGTTCCAGTTTCAGGACTCTTTCCGTGTCCCGAGGGCACGGACAGGTGTTCATTTTGTTTGGGGAAAAGTCAGCAGAACCATTTCTCGTATGATGTGTCTTAGTGTGCTGAAGCAGCACTACAGTGGGCTATATCCTCCTCCTTTCAGATTGTGAAAGGATGCCTCTCCCTCAAAGAGCTGAATATGGAAATAAAAGCAGACCTATACTAAAACCAGGCTGGCTACGCGTGGTTTGTAGGGAATTTTTCCCTGAGTGATCAAAGTCAAACACACCCACAGTAATAAGAGTGTGTTTGCTGTAATGACTATATGGTTCTTTTGGATTTCTTTATCTTAGTTCCTCATGGCTCTTCTGGCTTTGTGTTGTGGTTGGTTTGTTTTTTACAATGTGGTACAGCTCATTAATCTGTCAAGTTGACCTGTTCACTCTAGTGGAGTGACTAGAAAATGACTGGATTTCTGGAACTGTTTGCAAACTGATAAAAGCCTCAGGAATTACTGGGTTAGTCTGTCTTATTCTTAAGCCTTGCAAACTTCCAGAGCAGTGCTCTGTATGCACACGCCTTGTGCTCCCTGTTACAGTACCTAGTTTCATTTCCAAAGGCCTCTGTGCTCAGTGAGGAAAACTGTACCTAAAGGTGGTGCAACAGCTTCTCTGTATTTGTGTTTATGAGTAGAAATTCTTTTCTGGATATTGTCAGAGCAGTTAGAGATTGGCCTGCTCCTTGCCCTTAGAAGGGCAGGAGGAGAATGAGGATATTCCTGTCTCCTCTCCTGGACTGGCCTGGGAAGTTGCTAAGGTCATCCCTCTTGACTGACTTCCTGAACCCTGAGCTCACTTGTATGGCAGTGTGGGAAGCAGACAGCACCCTCTGGGCACAGGGCAGACCCAGTCAGCTGCAGGCAGCTCTGGTTCAGGGGTGTTTTCAGCACTCACTTTTTTTTGTCCTTAGGTGAGCTTACTGTGATAGCAAATGCACAAATCCCTTGGTTAAATCCCATGGCCCCCTCACCAGGAACTTTTCAAAATGATTTTTCCATAATCATGGTAGTGACCTAGTTTCAATAGTTCACTCTTTAACCAGAGGGTGTTGTTTTTCTGGAAGTCTGTATTAGTTTCCAGTGTTTTGCATTTGTTCATTCATAATCCATATAAAACATATAGTTGATTAAAAGTTTTGTCCACAGTATTTCCCAAGCTCGTTTCTCAACTTGACTGGAAAAAAACTTTCTAGAAGACTTTGTAGAAAAACAGTGAGGAAGAACTTCCAACACATCAAAGATCTCTGGTGATAATAGAATGACTTGGCTTGAAGAGGACCTTAAAGATCATCCAGTTCCACCCCCCTGCTGTGGGCAGGGGCACCTTCCACTTGATCAGGTTGCTCCAAGCTCCAACCTGGCCTGGAAAACTTCCGTGGATGGGACATCCACCTGAATTACTCTGGGCAACTTGTTCCAGTGTCTCATCTCCCTCAAGAATGGTGGCTTGAACTTATATAGCAGGAATCATTTTTATTACCCTTTTGTTGTGATGAGATGACTTCTCAACCATTTTCTAAGTCACAAATCGAGATGAAAGGTTTTTTTCCCCCGTATCCATGCAATGAAGTTTTATTCCTGGTGGTTTATTCCTGACTGTTTTCAAAGTAATGAAGTGTAATGGCAGTGTCAGGGGAACTGAGTTCTCTTCTAAGATGCTTCTCTGAAGTGTGAATCATAAGTGAGGGGAAAAAAAAAACCATAACAAAGAAAAAGCACCCAAAACTGTTGCTCCTGCAGGAGCTTTGGAAGTTGATAAGGTGTCCTGACCAGCAGCTCAGGCCTTTTCTTGTCTGTAACTGGGATTTCTGATGCTGCTCCTTTCAACTATTGCATCTTTTCTCTTGTGTTTCTTACTTCAAATGCTTTTGCAAATTGTGTGCTACTGAAATTGCTTTATGGGGTTGTATTAAACCAGTCCCTTTGGCATATCTTGTAATATCACTAGGACTTGTAGTAGGGAAGAAGAGTCGTCTGGGATTGAATCCATGTGCTGTGCAGCTTCACATTCTCCACCACTGGTTTTCAGCCTGTGCCTTTTTTAGGGCTTCAGAAGGATGGTCAAAGCAGAAGCAGGTTTGCAGGTACTGTCTAGAGCTATATAAGGCTGGGGAAAAAGGCTTTCAACAGCTCTTGTACCTCCACTGAGTGCCCTTAAGGGTCCAGAATTTGGGTAGGAAGGGAAACAAACCTTAAGCATTAAGATAGTATCTCTCCTTGTTTTTGTTAATGTATTCTATAAAGTATTTTTAATGATTGTTCTTAAATAGCAAGATTAACTGGACCAATTCATATAATCCTGGGCTAGTCTTCACTCGCACAGTCTTTGTTTTGAATTTGTAATAAATATTCTCATGACCTTTTAACCACCTACAGCCCTTAATGCAAACCACAGAACAAATTTTGTTCACTTCCTATACTAAGCTTTAACTACTTAAATTCTAATATTTTTTATAAAGCCTTACTGTAACTTTCATGAGCTTTGGCTCATTTACTGTCAATAAATAATGAAGACAAAAGATGATCTTGTCTTTGTGATTTTTTAATAGGTTGTGATGAATGGACTGACACTAAAAATGCTGAAGGGGATTGACTTCCTGAATGTGGGAATCGTGAAATGCCACTGTGTGTGAAGTGACAGTGCAGTGGAAGTTTGCTCAGTGAGTTGGGCCTTAATTTGAGTCACTTTGCTGATCCTGACCCCTTTCACTGTTTGCTGTGCAAGGTGCTGCTTCCTGCAGCCCATTCCTGCCCCGGGGCTCAGCCTGTGGCTGCCACCTCTCCCTGTTCCTGCAGTCACCTCCCACCTGGGGGAGCGCAGGTGTTGCCTCTCCTTCCATCCCTGGGGTGATGGCTGCTGCCTCTGAACTGTTCAGTCTCCTGCCTCTGCAGCCTGAAGGGCTCCAGCTCCATGTGCTCCTCCCTGGGCAAATCCCCAGGCCAGAACTGGGATCGTCCCACACCTCGGCCATGAAGGAGCAGCAGCTGATGGTGAGTCCACTTGCTTAGGGGAGGAAATGGGATGGGGAGGAGCAGCTGGGTTGTACCCAGCCCTGGCATCCTTCAGTATCCTTACATATCGTGTCCTCCAGCTGTCTTCGGGTGTTCCTGGGCTCTGTGGTCCAGGAACCACAGAGAAAAACGCAGACTTGTGCTAACTGGGCATGATTTAAAGCAAAAGTTGTGTATAAGTGTCCTGCAGAGGAAAAAAAATGTGCTGTAGGGCAGGTGAGGCTGGGTAACCTGGCAGGTGGTGATGGTAGTTAGTCCTCAGTGTGCCTGTCTTTTTGGGGTCTGACATATTCACAACAAACAGCCAAAAGCAGCTGGAATTACAGTCCTGCATCTCTCTTTGTTGATCCCAGTAAGAGGAATGCTTTGAAAATGTAATCCTCTCCCAAGTTTCAACCTTCAACCCTGTGCCTCCCAGTTAAACTGAAGCATTGCTCTCACAGTGTGCTGGAACATGACTGGGGCAAACGCAGAAACCCCTGCTCAAACTGGAATCGCTTAAAATAAAGTCAATAATATGTGGAATACCTTGCATTCCTCTCTAATGCGAGGAAAAGCCTTAGTACTTGGTGTGACCCAGCTCCACATGCTGCTTATTTGGGTTTGTTTTCTTACCCTCACTGGCTGGGGCTCACAAGTACTGTGATTAACTGGACCATTCTGAAGGTTAAGTCTGTTCAAGAGAGACTTGCACGATCCCCTCTGCCTCCTGCAGAATTTGGGATTATGGTGTACCAGATAATATTTTTAAAATGCTTTTAAGAGATTAGTTCAGCCCTTGGGAATGAGATGCTCATAACAGTGTCACTCAGCTGTGTTTAGGGAGATGATGAAGCTGCAACAATTAACTTATTCTTGTGAATATTAAAAGCTATTCAAAGCTGAGGAGCTTACCTTGTACTCTGAGATGTTCCCAGTGAAGAAATGTTCCTTTGTTGGAGCTACTCAAAATTGGCTACTACAGTACTTAAGACTGGGAGCTGTTTGTGAAACCCTCATTTGATTGACACATAGCTTGTTATTGTGGAAATAAATCTGATTCCTATAGAAACTAGCTGCTTGTAACTGGTGGGGCTGTAGAACGAGTCTGTTTTGATAACACCCACCCTCCTGATGCGGTGTTGTTCCTGTGCGGTGTTTTAGAAGCATCAGCTCTCCTGGCAGGAGCTGCAAAGGGGATGTTGCTGTGTTTTATGGAAGGGGAAAAAAAGCCATGGAAAAGTGAAAATAAAATTTTTCAAATCTTTGTTATTAACTGAGACCTCAAGGACAGCTGTTAGGTGGGATTTCAAATAGACCCTCCACCAGGCACACAGGTTTGGGATTGTGCCACAGCTGCAAAGTGAGTCAGGGCCAGAGCAGGACCTCAGCTTCAGGGGGCCCAATTAACCCCACAGCTGATCTGTGACACCACATTTTCTCTATGACTTCACATGTAGATTAAACAGGCTGAAATACATGTGCTCTTGTCTATTATTAATGCTGACAAATAGGTTGTGCCATTGTGTTTTAAATCTTTGAGTCAAATTATCGTCTGCGTTTCAAGCAAAGCAGTGTGTTTCTGGCTGATTGAGTTGTGGCACGAGGCACTGGCAGTTAATTGCTACTTTATAATCAGTCCTGCAATGAATTCCAGCTCCTGAGGAACCCTGTGGGAACTGCACAGATCAGGGCCAACTTGCTCTGATCTGGTTGAACAGGCTCATAAGGATTGCTACCTGGGATTAAACAAAATGGGTACTTAGTGAAATGCAATTCCCTTTCTTTGTCATGGATAACTTTAATCAGTGTTTTGGAAGCACCAGGGGAATCTGTAACCGTGCTCAGCCCTAGGACTGTTGGTACCACGGTCCCAGACCTCCGAAGGTTCCTGCTGGCAGCTGCAGTGACACGGCTGAGTTCACTCTGCCACCTTCTCTGTCAATCAGTCGGAGTCTTGCTGTGTTAGAGGCAGAAACGGGGGAAGAGGGAGGAAGAATTTGTCAAGATAAAAGTGCAAATCACGAGAGAATGAACTCATTTAAACTTTATAAACTTCCTTAAACTTCTAGGCCTTAAGCTTTAAGGTTTTGAGTTTGATCAGCAGAAGAGACGCAGCGAGAAGCTGTAGCCCTTGCTGGTGCCTGCTCAGAGCTGAGCCCTGCTGCAGGTATGTCTGGGTGGCCTCAGCACAGCCAAGCCACGTGTGTGCTGTGTGTGCAGGTGGCCCTTCGCATCCGACCCCTCAGTGAGGCCGAAGTGGAGGAGGGAGCTGCGCTCGCTGCCCGCAGAGTGGGCGAGCAGGTGAGCTGGGGACCCCCACCATGGGCACTGGGGACTCTGCCAGGTACCCCACGGGCCACCCCAGTCCTCTGGCTCTTCTGGTTCATGTGCAAGCACCTGCTTTCAAATCCTGCAAACCCCCTGCCCTTGCTGGGACACAGCAGGGACGCAGCTTCTCATGCAATGGCACCTCTTTTTTCCAGTTCTGCATTTGCCACCTCTTGCTCCCTTTTTTCAGAGGCAGGAATTGCAAGAGGCCCCCACTTACCTCTTCTACATTGCTATATCTGTTTACATACTTTTATTGTGTCCTTGTTATTTACCTTCATTTTCAATGTAAATCCCATTATTTTCTTTTGTGCTTCAGTTGATCTATCTCTGAACCCTTCCTGAACACACACTAATTCTGTCATATATCTGGTCTCCACTCAATAGTCAAATGATAGAAGCCCTCTGAAGCAAAGAGAACATGAATCTCTCTTTCCCCTTTATGGATTATCTTACAAATGCAATTTTGTTTAGCACCTTACCCGTGAAATACCTTTTTTTTTTCTTTTCTATTTTTAAAGCAGCCATTAATCCCACAAGGATATTAGTTTTATTTTTATACAGCTTATTCAGACTTGCATCATCTCCCCCAAGATCTATTTTCTCTAATGGAAATCTGGGAAGGAAATGTGCATTGCATTAGACTGAGTAACTTCTGTCTATGAGAATGCTTTTCTCTTAATAATGCAAATAACTGTAATTATGAAAGCAAATTAATTGACTGGGCAATTGAAGTACTTAGATTTTCTGGTGTATTTTGATTTGCATTTATGTTCCCTTCTATTTTTACTCTCAGCTGAACTCATTTAGAACTGCTTCTGTCTGCTTATTAACTCTAACTCAAAACTGATTCTGCTAGTGGCTTGTTATGTTTTAATGCTTCCATGCAATAGCAGAAGATTTGTGCTTTTAGAATACTGCTGGTTAGACCAGGCAGTAGCCCCAGGTTGGAAAAGGGCTCTTTGGATGCATGGATACACTGTGAGCAAAATTTTGGATGTTACAAGAGCTCAGTAAAAGAGGCCTGAAAGTGTTAGTAAATGCTCCTAAACTTCTAAAGGAAACATGATGACCTCATTCTCCAAGCTCTGCTCTTGCCTGTCACAGTTGCATGTGCACATGATTAAGTGTCAGTCCCTCTTTGGCAGGCAAATCCTGCTGCTGAGGACAAACCAGGAGTTCCCTTTGGAATTTATTCTTGTGTTGCTTCAGGTTTTAAAGCCTGGGCTGGACCAGTGAAAACTAAAGAATTGTAGAAAAGCAACAACAAAAAAGTAATTCTGCTAATTGAAAACTTGCAAATCAAGGAGGTACTTGTTAGAGATCTGGAATTTAGCGGGAAATGCAAAAGAAAAAGAAAACCCCAAGTTTTGACATTTCCTGAACTCCATGGGCACCTGTCCTGGATACTTGTCTCTCTCCTGGTGCACCAATGCAGTTATTCTGTCAGTCAAATAGTGGTTGATCTATGCTCTAATGATCTGTTTACCTGGGAGAGAGTGAAAGCTGCTCTGGAGCAGGAGACACAGGGCTCTCTGTCCTTCCCTTGAGCCTTGAGCATCTCCTTATGAGCCATCTCAGTGGAGCAGAAACCCATTCTCCACAGTAATAATACACTCTGATAATCATGTACTAAAATAGATCCTAAAGGACTGAAAGGAAACAGAACCAGTTCTGTAACCTGCTGCAACTCCTCTCCTACCTTTGTTTTTTCCTTCATAAAAGCCAGAAATGGAATGAAGTTTCTGTCCCTGAGCAATGCAGATATTTCGATCAGTCCTGCTGCACAAAAGGCTTTGGCAGATGACTTTGGGCAATGTTTCTCCTGAAGAACTTGACTATTTTCTTTCATAATTCTTGTCTGAATCGTAGCTGAAAATTGAGGTAAGAGGTCCTGTGTCCCCCTGCCTGCATGGGGGCCTGTTGGGTGTCATGTCCCTGCAGCCACTGCTCTTGCCCAATGCCAGCGACCGTTCCACTGCTCAACAGACCTTCAAAGCATTTTGCAGTTCTCCAAATTACAGGAGTTGCAACATCACTTGCAAAACCAAGTCTGTTGGCCTCAGCATTGTGTGTATAAGTGTTTTCCAGGCAAAGCTGCAGTGCAGCATTCCCCTGGCCAAGGGATAGTGCTGTAAGGAATCCCCACAGGCTGTTAACCAAACCCAGACCTAATGTTTCATCTTCTGACTTTGTCCTGTACCAGAGGGTGGTCCTGATGGACCCAAGTGAAGATCCAGATGACATCCTGCGAGCCAACAGATCCCGAGAAAAAACCTTTGTATTTGACATGGTTTTTGATCACACAGCAACCCAGGTAACAGCCTTCCCTTTTTTTAATCCAAAGGCTTAACACTACAATTGTTTTCCCTGCTTAGAAGAATGTTTTTGGCAGGTGAGTAGAACTGCACAGCCCAGAGGCCACATGTCACCCAGATAAAGGTGACAGTGCTGAAGGTGAGAGGGCTGTGAGGGTTTTCCTTTTGCCAGACAAGTGGGGGGAGACATGTGCAGTGTTCAGTCTGCCTCTGCCTCCTGCTTTGGCCTCCCCAGGGGCAACAGACCTGAGCAGGGATGAAGAGCTTTGTCTCCCAAGGTCTCTGGGGAATGAGATCATTGTCATGTTTTTGGCTCTGTTGCTCACACAGCTCTTCCCTGTGCCTCTGTGGTTTTACAGGCTCACGGAGGGAGCTCTGGTGCCCTCACTGAGCCATGTTTTGCAGACAGGTATGAGCTACACTGTGAGGATTTAATCAGCACCTGCATTTTGTGATCACCATAGCCTTGCTTCTCACAGCAGTTTGGTCATCTGTGTTCTCTTTCACATCCAGCTTCAGAGTGGCAGCCTTGTATGCTACCTAAGACATTTTTGGAGGCCCACTGGCACTTCTCCATAAAGGATAAGGTCATGGAGAGAATTTATTCCCTTCTTCAGCAGACACAAAGAAAAAGACACAGTATTTCATGTTCAGAAAATAATCATATTTAAGGTTATTTCTTTCAGTAGGCTCCTGCACCTTACGTGCCTTTAGAAAATTCAATAAACCTCTGTGCTTTTCTGCTCATTTTGATGATGTATCAGAATTCAAACAGCTTGAGAATCCTTCCAAAGCCCAGGAAATTTCTAAAATAAAGTGAGAAAATAATGGGGAATGCAATTAGTTATAGGATATTTGGACAGCTGTTATGCCTGACCGAAAATCTGTTCTTTTTTGACTGAATTAGGAGGAAGTATATGTGTCCACGACCAAAAGCCTGATAGAAGGAGTTATTTCTGGATACAATGCAACCATTTTTGCATACGGTCCGACAGGTAAAGTAGTTCCTGTACTGTACTGCTCCAGATGAATAAAATATCACAGTGAAAGCCAGAAATATTGAGCCAATTAAGTGCTTGCTATGAGGACAAGAGTGAAGCATTAAAATACCATTCTCATTGGGAACAGTGAACCTCACTGAAATGCCAAAGTAACAGTGAAGCTGCCTTATTTGAAAAGTCACTTAATTGAGGTAGAATTCAGTAGAGACAAATCTTCCCATTAAAAGGAGGAGGTAATAAGGGCATCTGTGCAATGCTGGAGGCTGATCTCAGGAGAACCCATGTAGCTGTAGAAAGCATTTATACAGAACAGAGTATATGAAAATATGTTTCTACTCTTGCTCTGAACACCTCGGTGAGCAGTTACCTTACCTGTCTGCCCATCTGCCTGGCCTCTGCCCACTCTTTTTGGATGGCATGCACCGTGTCTCTCCTCAGGCAGTGTCATTGCAGCATAAGAAACGGGAGTAACTGGAGGAAATTAGGGGGTAAAGCACAGAAATCCCTAGGAAACCAGGTATCACTTGTTGTGGAAACTTTCTCAAGTGGAAGTTTGGCTTTGCTGCTGCTCTCTTTATCTTCAACAGGAACAGGAAAAACCTACACGATGCTGGGCACGGACAGTGAACCAGGGATCTACATCCGTGCTCTTGGTGACCTCTTCAAGGGCCTTGGAGCCACTGCTGAGGAGGTGGATTACACAGTCTCCATGTCCTACCTGGAGGTGAGGTCTGTGCTGCCTTGGATCCAGCCTCTGTGGAGCAGCTGTAATGGGAAGTGGGGTATCTGAGTCTGTCCATTGAAATGCAGAATCAACTCAACCCTAAAGACCCAGTGCTAGTCTCAAACCAACCTGCCATTTCTTACCCTCAGATCTATAACGAAGTGATCCGTGACCTCCTGAACCCATCCTCGGGGTTCTTAGACCTGAGAGAGGATTCCAGAGGCAGCATCCAGATAGCAGGAATTACAGAAGTCTCCACTACAAATGCTCAGGAGGTACTATAGTCTGCAGTGAGCAGAAAGGGAGGGTGTTTGTGCTTTTGTGCAGAAGTGCTTTAAAATTTCTTGACACTTTCCTATTGCCTGTGCTTACTCAGGAGTAAGGACATTTTGTAGCAGGACATTGGTGGGACTGGATTAATGTGATGAATTATATGAAAAGGGCTGATCAGGGAGTCAAGCAAGGGGTAGGAAACAGGGTAAAATCCCCAGCTGTCCATCTGCTAGCTCTGCCTCCCCAGGGTGCACCCTGCATTCTGGGAAGGGCAGGAGTGCTTTGATTTGTGTACCTGTGTCAACAACCAGTTGGAGAGTGAGAAGAATTAACTAAACCCCCTTGAGCAACACTGATGTGCACTTAAACATGTGCCTTGGACATGAGATAAGCAGGCCTCACAGAAAACAGCCCCAAACACAACACACCCGCACTCCCCATGAGCCACAGGGAGAGATCTGGGGAAAATCAACAGCAAACCCCTGCCTGCACGAGCAGAACAGAGTTTGCCAGTGCCCTGGGTGAGGGGTTCAGTCTGAGGGAACGCTGTGCTGTGGCTCAGGCAGAGCTGTGCATGTCCACGGGCTCTTCTGCTTCCTTCAGATCATGCAGCTGCTGATGAAAGGCAACAAGCAGCGCACGCAGGAGCCCACGGCGGCCAACGGGGCGTCCTCCCGCTCGCACGCGGCGCTGCAGGTGACGGTGACACGGAGGAGCCCACGGAAGGAGACTGGCGAGGAAGTGCGGGTTGGGAAGCTCTTCATGGTCGACTTGGCAGGGTCAGAGAGAGCAGCTCAGGTACAGCCAGAGCTTGGCAGCTTTTGGTGAGACTTGGCTCGATTCCCTGGTCTGCTGTGCGGGCTCTGCCTGCCCTCAGCCCTGGGGTGAGGAGCAGCACTGTGCGCTTCTCTGCTGCTTCAGAGGAGTAGTTTGTACCTGAGACAGCCTGAAAATCATGACTCAGTGTGGAGATATTGGTGGTACCTTTTATTAGGCCAGCTGCAGTAATTGGAAAAACGTAAATCTGCTTTTGGGTTCAAGCCTTCCCTCAGGTCTGAAAAAAACAGCAGCGAATTTCATATCTGAAGAGAAGCTGTGGTTTGTTAGGCAGGGATTGGCTGGGCTGTTGGAGAGAAAGCTGGTGCTGGTGGAATAGAGGGATGCTGGTGGGTGGAAAATAAGTCAGCTGGCTCCTATGGGAAGGAGGAAATGCTTGAACTTGGGGAGGTGATTTGAGGAAGACAGATTTTACATACCAAGTATCTTTACTGAGACCAGGAATTCTGGAGTGATGTAGTTATGCATCTTAATTTCTGAAATAATCTTTAGAAGATAATTAATAGCTATCTTTTAAGAACTAAGAGGTCAAACCTGGGCCATTCTCCAAGAAACTTATTCCTATCAGCACCTCTGTGCCTCAGAGTGGGGTTTAACCCAGCACTTTCAGGTTGATTTTTGCAGGAGGCATTGCTTTGATATCCAAGCCTTGACCCTGGTGATGCCGCACATCTTCCTGAGGTGCAGCCCCACTGTTCTCAAGCATGGGGCTTGTCTGTCTGTCCCCCTTCCCACTTTCTCCCCCCAACAGACTCAGAACCGGGGCAAGAGGATGAAGGAAGGAGCCCACATCAACCGCTCCCTGCTGGCTTTAGGCAACTGCATCAACGCTTTGAGCGAGAAGGGCGGGAGCCGGGCCCAGTTTGTCAACTTTCGAGACAGCAAACTCACCCGCCTGCTGAAGGTGGGGCACAGCCCCCTGCACCCAGCACGGGGCTTGGCATCACTGCTCAGATCAGGGCTTGAGGGCTGATCCTTGACTATCTCTGTGCGTTGCCATTATCCAGCTTGGAATGCTCCTCTAGGATCTTGTGTGAGCTTTGCAATGACTTGGACAGAGCTGTGCCTGTTACATGTGATCTCTGTGATTAAGGAAGGACCTTCTGTAGGGTTAAAGCAATCCTAAAGATTTGGGTTGTACATCTCAAAGCTTACAAGTGACCAGGGATTTCTTAAATTAACTTACTGCCTTTGAATGTTTTATCCCTTCTATAAGATTTGGCTGAAATTGGCCAATAAATTTGTTGGGGCACGAGGAAGGAAGACTGAGAGTGACTGTGTGCTGTCACAAGTTGTCTCTCCCTTAGGAAATCAGAAAGGCTGCAGACACACTCTTTGCCACGCTGGTTATTTTATGGATCCTTTACAACCTCATTTATGAACCTCCCCTCAAGCCCTGGTGCTGAGCTATCGCTGCTGCTGCATGACAGATGTGTTTTCTAGAGGATAGTGGGGAGGAGGAGAGATGGAGAGAAACTCAAGGCTCCTGTTGTGAGTGGAATTCAGAAGCTGCCAGTGCATTTGTGGAAATTGCAATTCTCTTGCAAAAATTCTTCTTTTGTAGCAAGTTAATTACTTATTGATTTTGCTGTTGGTAGTGAGAGGGCCTAATGAATGGTCTTTTACCAGCACTTCCTTCACTCTTAATTGGGATTCTCCATTAGAATCTCAATGAACTGCAGGGGTACCCAGACACAGTGGTTACCCCTGAGCAGCAAAACCCTGTCACATCCCTGCTAACCACACCAACATTGCATCCCTCCAGGATTCCTTAGGGGGCAACAGCAGGACCGTTATGATTGCACACATCAGCCCAGCCAGTTCCTCCTTTGAAGAATCCCGAATGACCCTGATCTATGCCTACCGAGCAAAAAACATCAAGACACAGGTACCAGAGCAAACCAGTCCCAAGGAGTTTGGGCTTAGAGATTCAGTGAGGGTGGTGAGGCCCTGGCACGGGTTGCCCAGGGAAGGCATGCTTGCCCCATCCCTGGAATTGTTCAAGGCCAGGTTGAACAGGGCTTGGAGCAACCTGGTCTAATGGAAGGTGTCCCTGCCTTAGAGACGATCTTTAAGGTCCCTTCCAACCCAAACCATTCCATGACTCTATGACTAAAAGCTTTCAAGTGGAAATAGAAGATGTGGTGGGTGAGGGGAGAACACACTTCAGGAGGGGGCAGTGCAGATTGGTGTAGGGGCTCAGTGTGAGTGAGAGAGGAAATACAGATGAAGGGAACAGTGGAAAGCAAATTGTTTGGGTTGTGAATGAGAAGAGGAATCTGAAGGTGAAAAGAAGGGGGCAGAAAAATGGAAAGGCAGAGGACGATGTGGCTGGTATGGATCTGGGTGCGCAACACGAGGAATGATGGATGGAAGATGATGACAGTGTATTGGGAATGTCCCAGTGGGGATGCTGGGCTTGGAAGAGGAACTAAAGGCCTATAGCAATGAAGAATAAAATGGAGAGGTTCATGGGGTGAAGGAAGATGAACAGTGATCTACAACAAGGTTTTCCTTCCTTCTGGATCTATGTGTTTTTCCTGTGGACACAGGCTCCGTGGCTTTTCTCTGTCACATTTTGGGAATTTCCAAGGATTAGGGAAAACCACTAACTCACTCTCCCCACTCACGAGGGAAAATCCTTTCCTGTCACAAGTGCCCTACAGCTGAAAGCCTGGGTTTGTTTGCAGCCCTTGTACCAGTCGTGGGACCAACACTCACCTATTCTGGCTCCCCAGGTGAAGTGTAACCTGCAGAACGTCTCCTACCACATGGACCAGTACACCGGCATCATCGTGGAGCTCCACAGGGAGATCAAGTGTCTGAAGGCAAGGGTTGAGGACCAGGAGAAGGAGACAAGTGCAGCTGGCCCCGACCTCGGGGTTCTGCAAGGTAGAGCCAGGAGCTGGAACAGTTCTGGGCTGTCTGGAAGGATGAGAGCGGGAGAGGAGCTGTGTGGGTGGGTTGTGGCAGTGCCTGGTGGGTCTCCATGCAGACACGGCTGGGGGAAGCTCAGCAATGCTTGTAGAGAAGCGAAGTGGAAAACACAGTCTGATGGGCAGTGGAGGCAGGTGGAGGAGCTGAGGTTGTTTTTCTGCAGGAGCCTCTCTCTGATGTACCGTGTGACTCTGGATATCACCCTTCTCAGCATCTCCATCAACGTTAAAATGTGTTACATTTCACAAACCCGCCCTTGAAAAGAGATTTGACATCAAATGGTGGCATTTGCTGGGGGAAGTCCTGTCTGTCACAGAGAGGTGACCGAGTTGTTGTAGCCTGCATCATCATGGGCTCTGAGGCTGTGTCAGGACACCGAGCTCTGCTCTATGGTTCGTTGCATGTAATAAAAGAAAGAAAAAAACAGAGAGACAGGCAGGGCGAAGATTTTAAAACACTGATTGTTCTGCCCCAGGGATTGTTCCTTTTGTCAGTGAACCTGGCAAGAAATGAAATAAAAATAGTCAAGTTCGCTGACAGACTAGACATGAGATATAATAGGCCTCTGCTACCAGTACCCAAGGTCATTTCTAGATAACAAGCACAGAAAACCTTTTTGGTTTTGGTGGGTGTAAAGACAGAAGAGATGTCCCTGCAATGCAGTATCCTCTTAATATTCACAAAAGCATGGCAATGAGCCCTATTTATTGCTAATAATATAAAGCTATACCAGATTTCTTCGGCACGTGATGAACTTGACAAGACTGCAGAATGAGGCAGAGTCCTGTAAATGAATGTCTCATTACATGTGGCTTGGTCCCAGAGTAGTTTTTGGGGGGATTTCACAGAATTTCACCTGGCCTAATGTCAGCTCAGAAATGTCTTTTCCTGCAGCAGAGGGGCAGCAGGGCTCTGAGGCACCCAGCAGCCAAGCAATGAGCACCTTGCGGGCGCAGCTGATCGGGGCTTTCAGGGAGCAGATGGAGATGCGTCACAGCCTGATGGAGCTGGAAAACACCAACATTGAGCTGCACGTGGATACCTGCAGGCACCTCCTAACAATTGCTGAGTGAGTGCCTCCTTAGCTTCCAGCACAATGTATACAGGGACCTCCAAACTCGCCATGGGAAGTGAGTAGGTGTAGCTCCATAAGGCAACCAGCACATATCGCATCGAGTTTAGGCTCAAGACTAAAAGTGGGGAAAAGCACTGTCCTTCCCATGGAAAGAACACATAGGAGGCCTGTCTTACAAATTTCCAAAGGGGAGGAAGCTAACTGTGCTCTTCTGAGTGGTTTGTCCAGCTCCAAAGCAGCCTGGACTAATTATTTCTGCTGCTGCCATGGAAGAACAAGCTGGACAGACACAATGAAGGGCTATGCACCACTAGAGCTATGTCGCTATGTCCCAGAAGTTCCTTTCTTTTTCTGGCTGGCAGCTGGGAACAAGAGAAGGCTGAGGTTGCATGTAAGGATGACGTGCCAGCAAAGGAGGAGAAAGGAGAAATAGTGGAGGAGGAAGACAGGGAAGTGGATGTCATGAATTCACCTGAACTGCATGAAGTTACAGCAGCAAGAGAAGAGATCAACCTGCTGCTGGCAGAACAACGCAAGACAGCGGCCCTGAAGGTGAGGAGGTGAAGGTGCCCTTAGGATTTCTAGCCTGCCCCCTGCCTGGTGGGTGCTTGAGGGCAGGATGGCAGCAGCATAACTAAGAGGTTCATGTGGATGTGGGCTCGCACCACAGAAGCAGTGGGGCAGCTGGACTCCTAAATAATTTGGGGTGCTGAAGGAAGCAGCATGGAAAGATTGATCTTTGCGTCATCCCTGTGTCCTTGTGGTTTTTAGGATGAGGGAAAAGCACCCACTGGGCTTGTATTACCTATAAGTGAGCTAATCCTTTCCATTTTGAGGGTTTGTCACTCATTGGTTGTTCAATGTGTTGGTAATTGCTTTTAGTCATAGTTTTTTTGGGTAGTTCCCATTAACATTTGAGTTCCTCTAGGCGAGGACTGTGCATCTGTATATATCTGCCATGACTGAAATATGGTGGCTGGTAGTAGAACAAGCAAAATACAAAATACTTCTTGTAGATATTACTTCAATCTCAGCATGAAGGGCACAGCAAAGATTTGCTCAAATGCCTTTGTTGCCCCAAGAAGCTGAGCTGCCTTGGCAAACCCCTATCTGTCTTTTGCAGACAGAGCTGGAGCAGCACTTAGCAAATGCCAAGGAAAAAGCTTCCCAGATGGAGGAGTTTTTCCCCAGACAAATCACTAGTGAGGATCAGCAGGAGGTGCTCAGGCTTCTCTGCAGAGCTCATGAGCTTCAGCTTGGCAACACAGAGCTGCAGGCAAATACACTGTACAGGGAGAATCTATTGTGCCAGAAGGATTTTGTGATCCAGCAACTGCAGCAGCACTTGTTACTCTGTGAAGAAATTATTCAGCAGCAACATATGCTGATAAAAGGTAAAACAGCACCTTTTCTCTTGCTTTGTCCTTATCTCCAAGCTTTGTTTTCTGATGGCAAACTGGAGAACAATCCGTCCAGAAAACATGGTCTTGGGTGTCATGACTTCACAGTTCTCAGTTGTTTCTCTAGGAGTTATTTTTAAGTCTTCCTCCATATCTCTGCTCCAGCCCAGAACATTCCTGTCCCAGAGACACTGGAGAGGTTACACCACCTGCACCTCTCTGAGCTGGAGGAGGGGGTGCTGAACCGCCTGCTGCTGCTACACTCAGCGATGTCCAGCATGCTCAGGGTAAGGCAGAGCAGCCTGTTGTGCTGGAGAATTCACGCTGTCCCATGATGTTGTCATGGCCATGGATTCACACAGAAAACCTGGCTGGGTCCTGGTGCCAGTCAGAAGCTGCACACTGTTTTATGAACATGTTGCCTCTGGAGTTCTACTCTCCTTCCCTCCTTCCCCCTACCTCAGAGAATTAAGGCTTTTAGCAGCACAGAAGCACCCAGGCAGTGCTGTGAATGACCCAGCTTCTGTTGTGTCAGACTTGAGAGAGAACTGGTTTGGTTGCAAAGAGAAAAGCAAAGGTTAGATGGCCAAACATGCAGCACTCCAAGGGACTGCTGAAGGAGACTCTTACCTAGAGACATCTACTTGCTCATGGCACAGTTTTGTTATTGAGGTCTTCAGATCTTTCCTGACAGAATGGAAAGATGCTGCTGGCCCCTTTTTCTTTGGAAAACAGTGTTTTGAGACAGTAAGGGGCTGCCAGGAAATTGCCAGCCTTCAGCAGGGAGTCCAAGCACCAGCGTCTCCTGTTTATTATGATTGTCTAGAATGAACAGGGCAAGGAGTTGGGTTTCACCTTGAATAATAAACTTAATGTTAGTCATGTTGTTATATGAGAAATTAAACTACTCTGAGTGCCCCTCTACAGGAGGGGAGCAAATAGCAGGTGGCTGGAACTATGCAGAAGCACATGGGGTATCAAGGGTGTCTTTGTGATGCAGGCTGAGAGCCTGGGCTGCAGAAGGGGCTTTACAGTGAGAAAAATCTGCTGAGGGTCTCATTCTTCCCTCTTCCTGCAGCCCCACAAAAGCCCTTCTCTGGATGTAAGTCAGCATCTGGATCCTAATAAAGATGAGATCAGAAAGGGTCTGCCTGGGAACATGAAGGATATTCCCTGGGGGGTGAAGTTTGACATTCCCTCCATCACCCTTGACTCAGACAGGTAATGTGAGTCTTTCTCATTATTAGACTTATTCTCTAGGGCACAGAGACCTGGTAGCTCCCAGCTAAGTCCACAAAGCTGGGAGATACCAAACTGGAAGGACCTCTAGAAACTGGAATCTGCCAGAAGAGACTTTCCTGGTACATTGTTCTTGCAAAGCAGCTCCATGTTTTAGCAGGAGCCTTCTCTGCAGAGAGAGGCTATGGGACAAGTTTCAATTTGCTTCTGTTGGTGGGCAAGCATTTAAATCAAATAAAGTAGCAAAGTTTGTGAGGATCAGGGGACAAAATATCTCTCCTTCATGAATCCTGAAGTATTCCTTGCTGTGTTCTTTATTATCATGTTTGCCAGGTTTCTGGCTTTCTCCACAGCTTGAGAGCTCTCAGCTAAACATGCTGCATCTCTCCCTGTTGATAAGGGGCCTGTGCTTTCATCTCATAACCTGCTGGCATATTCTGTTCACAGTGGCAGCTGCAGATCAGCTAAAACAACACCCTGTAGGAAGGAGGGGTCTCTGGACACCCACATCAGCCCAACTTTCTCTGGTTTGCCAAAAAGCCCAGCTCAGCAGGTCAGTATGGCAGGAACTGAATTCAAGGCACATTTGATGTGGAAAGCACCTTGCTCTTGTGATGACAAAAACATGCACAGCAGCTAAATACGTGAGGAAGGTGGTAAAATTGCTCCTAGAGCACTGGCCTTGGGTTTAAAACCTGGGATTTAACTAAGAGGCCAAGGCTTAACTGCCTTCTCCAATTTAGGCACTCTGTGTGACTCACCCGTCTCCAGTGTGTCCAGTTCACTCAGCACCCTGGAAGAGGAGGGACAGTTAGGAGCTCATCAGTTCCTTGCTCACTGGCTGACTGACTCTGTAGCCATGGCTGTGTATGGGAGATACACAGTCAAAAAGCTTTGCTTTTGTTTCTCTGCACAGAAGTTATTGTAACAATATTTCATGTGAAATTTAATGTCTTCCAAGTGTTTCAAAGTGCTTCGAAGGGGGAAAATATAAAAGCATTGAATGAAAAGCAAATTACGCTGCAATTGCTTTGATTTTTAGCAGAAACCAACAGATGTTGCTGCAGGGAAGTCGACTCCCAGGCTGCACTCCCCCACCTCTCTAGGCTTCCATGGGAAAAAGTCACCTGCAGACATTGCTGCTGTTCTATGGAGTCCAGAGACCTTGGAGGAAATTGCCACCAGCACCAAAAGCATCTCCCTCATTGCAGCCAGTCGCCGCTCCAGAGCCCAGCACAGAGACCCTGGGAGCAAAGCTACCCCAGTCCACACCTCTGTGGAGGATGTGCTTGAGCTGAAGTATCCAAAGGCCAATTCTACCCCAGACTGTCAGACAAGAGACAGGGCATGTATTGGAGGGTTGCTGTTGGAGCCCACAGCTGGGAGCCAGCTGTGTTCCCCAGCCAGGGGAGAGCTGAGGAGCAGGAGAGACCAGGAGGTGTCTGCTGGGAGGACAGCCAGAAAGAAAAGATCTCGCTCTCCTGAACCGAACTTCCACAGGGTAGGAACATAAACTCCCTTTGTGTTTCTTTCTGAAGGGGATGGGTTGAGCAGGAGGCATAGACCCAGTGAAGCTAGGGTGGTTTTTAAATACAGGAAGAGAAATGTAGTACAAACTGCATGGGGAAATAAGTTAAAATATCTTTATTCTTTTTCTAAATATCTTTACCCTTGACCTCCTGCCTAAAGAGCAAGCTAAGCCGGTCAGGTGGGAAGGGAATCTTTTTGGTACAATGTGGCAACAGTCAGAGGTCAGAGACATCACCACTGAGGTTAACTCCACTTGGTGACTTTCAGATCTCAAATGCTAAGCCCTGGACTCCCTCAGGCCCCAACACAGACACAGGTTGCGAGAACCACCTGCGCCGAGCCAGCCTCTTCCATCAGTCAAAAGCTGCGAGAAGTGTATCCATTGCCACAAAGGTCAGGGCTCCTGCCAGCCACCAGTCAGGTAGGGGTCAGAGAGATTTGTCTGTGCCCGACATCAGCTCTGACAGATGGTGACATCCTGCACCAGCTCTGTTGAAGATGGATTGTCATGTGAGAAATAAGCCAAAGTAAATGCTAATGATCAGAACAATTAGCAAGCTGATCTGATTGTTTTTTATATGGTCTAAGTAGATTTTTGATGGGTAAGAAAGCACATCCTTTGTAGGCCACTGCCTCAGCTATGCCTGTAACCTATGGGGAAGAATTAATGTTCAGTTGTGTTTATGTGCAACAAGTGATTGATCTCAGTTTAGTCTGTGTTTCACATCCAAACCTCAGCAAGGATACCAAGACATGACAAGCTGGGCTGACCATCTGTCAGCTTCAGTTGTTTTGCCTTGTGCAGGTACACAAGGCCAGGATGAGTTTAGGAGAACTGGACACTCAAATCCTATTGAAATATTGCCAGAATCTTTCCCCATTCTGGCAAGGGGCGTAACTGATCCTCCTTAGTTTTTCTAACTTTTTTTACTAAAAAATGGTTAACTTTTGATTTACAATGCTATAATTTATTTGGGCTAGCTATTAGCAACTCATACATTGCAAAATGCTTTTAAACTCTGCTCCGCTCGCACTGTTTGTAACAAAGCTCTCCCTGCCTTCGACAGAGGGGACTCCACTCCAGGTGCTGCCAAAAGGCAATGCTCCTGCAAGTGCCACCCAGCACAGCAATGCTGATCATGTCAAAGGACAAGACCTCCAGAAACAAGTCAAGGGTGAGTGCATAAAATACCAGGTTGGCTGGCTCAGGAGGCACTGTGATACTCTTCAGCACTTGCTCTGTTGCAATCTGAACCAAAAGAGCTGTAAATGCAACACAAATGGTCCAGTTGGGAAAGCAGTCACATGAGCAGAGGTTTTGCGGCCAAGTTTTAAGCCTTTTTTCTTTGCAACAGATGACACGGGCAACGTTCCAGAAGGAACATCTCCCTCTTAGCCAAAAATAACCTCCTAGGAAGAGAAAATAACATTTTCAGAGGTGCTAATAATCCCAGTCTAATCCATATGTAAAGGACAAAATTTAATCTCAGCTAGCCACATGTCAACATAACTGCTTCCAAGGTGTCATCTTGGGATCTTCTTCAGGCAGCAATGTGCAGATCCCAGTGCCTTTGCCAAACTCGGCCCTCCACAGCCTGTGGCAATCTGTCTCTTCCCCATTTCAACTGGAAATGAGACTCAAATTGAAGTATGAGAAACTTGACTAAGTTCATCTTCCCTCGCTTGCAGGGCCTGCAGATGGTGCCAGCAGGTGGCAAAAGCCACAGCCAGTCGCCCGCCTGGGGAGCCAGCCCAAGACTAAATACAAGTCACCCAGGGAGCAGGAACTCTTTTTGGCCCCAAGGGATTGCAATTGCAAGACTGCTGGAAGTCAAGGAAGTGGATGCAGGAGAAATGTGCCTTAAAATGTATTTTGGCTTCTGTGTCGCGATGCTGAAAAGCAGAGTGAAGGTGAGCAGTGAGGAGAAGAACCTTATATGCTGTATATGCTGTAGAATACTTTTTCTCTATCCCTACTTCAAGTCTGTCCTCTGTACTGTGTGCTCTAGCTGTTAGCTTGAGTTTAAGACAAGTAGGGTGTTAAGAGAGCCCAAGAGAGGAAGATATCAGCATTGAGACCAAGCTGCCTTTTTTTTCCCAGGGCAAAGGTGTGGATGCCACTCCTGCATCCAGAAGGCTCCCTGACTATTAAAAACAAATGTAAATGCCTGAGGAATAGTTTCCCCATTCTTCCCTGCTGTCCCTGTGTGTTGCTGTGAAGCTGGGAGGTGTGATGCACGCCTGGAATGCTGTTTGAGTACGCAGATGTTGGGCTGTGAGATTGCTCTAAGCTCTCCTGTATCTGCAGAGCATTTCAGACCTGGCTGCAGCCAGAGAGGCAGTGTGGTGATAAGTGAAGACCCTGATAACAGCTACTAGCCTGGAGGTAAACTGTGGGAATGTGGTTTTCTTTTTGGAACAAAAGTCTCCAGGCAGCAGCCTATTCCATAAGGGACTTATTAAATATAATGCAAATAAAATGGTTCTGGTCATTGCACTGAATGGTGACTCTGTGCTCCATACAGGCGTGTCTTCTCTCCTATAAGTATTGAAGGTGACAATCTCAGGTAGGTTTGTGCTTTTTCTCAAATGGAGGAAGAGCCTTTTTTTACAGCTGTAGCACTTGAAAAGAACTTCCTACATGCTCTTTCTGACTGGGTGACATTGCGCACACTCCCTATTCCTCCATGAGCCTTGCTTTGCTGTGGGGAAGATGAGGGATAGTTCACTCCAGGGATGAGGAAGCTTAATTACTTGCATTTATTAATGTCTTAAACCCCTGAGGTGGGGATGCAATGCAGGTGTGTGAGCAGGTCCAGCAAGCAGCCCATTTTCCTTATGAAACAGAAAGCAGAAGTGTGATGGTGAACTAGGTCAGGAACACTTGTTCCCAGGGGCTGATTCTTCTGGATAAACAAAGATATAAAGAAAAAAAGAGCACACAGATAAAATAAGCAGAGTGTGTATAAGATAAACCTGTGCCAGCACTTCCTGAGCCAAGCCCGGAACTACGCCTCCCCCCACGACCCGCAAGCACTCGAAGGACCAGAAGGCTGAACAAACCCAGCTCCCAGAGAGACGATCCACGACCCTTCGCCCTCTTTGTCGGACCCTCTCCTTGCGCTGAGAAAGCACAAGAAAACACTTTGATTTTTTTTTTTTTTTTTTTTTTTCCCGTGCGGCGGCGCTCGCAGAGGGTCCGGCAGCGCCTCCCCAGCGCGGGGGGGCCCCGAGGGGCGTCCCCGGGTGTCCCGCTCCCTCCGTGTCCCGCTCCCTCCGCGTCCCGCACCGCGGGGCCGGGAGCGGGGCCGGGGCCGCCCCCTGCGGGCGGAGCGGCGCCTGCGCGGCCCCGCGGGGAGCCCCCGCGCCGGCGTCTCGCGAGAGGCGGCGGCGCCGGGACCGGGACGGGCGGAGCAGGAGCGGGAGGAGGAAGAGGAGGAGGAGGAGGGAGGCGAAGGCTCCCCGGCGGGAGGTGAGCGCGGGGCCGCGGCCGCTCGGTGCCTGCGGGGCCGGGCGGGGCGCGGTGAGGCGGTGCCGCCCCGGGGCCGGGCCAGCCCCGGTTATGAGGCGCAGCGCCGTGTCCCCCCCTCCCCGTCCCTGCGCTCTGCCCGGTGCCAGGTAGGGCTCGGCTCCGGCGGGACACGGGGCATCGTGCGCGGGGCTCTGCGGGGCGGCTCCACTTCTCCTTCACCTTCCCCGCGGTGCCGCCGGGATGGACATTCCCCGGCGAGCGGGGGGGGCTCAGCCGGGGGGAAAGGGGGCGCAGGGGGGACCTTGTCGCTCCCTGCCTGGGAGGAGGCTGTGGGCAGGTGGGCGTCGGTCTTTTCTCCCGGGTGACAAGAGATAGAACGAGATGGAACGGCCTCAAGCTGAGGCAGGGAAGGAGCTGCCCGGGGAGCTGGTGGTGACACCGTCCCCTTGGAGGCAGACGTGGAGGTGGCGCTGAGGGTCGCGGTTTGGTGGCGGGGCTGACAGTGTTTGGTGAATGGATTGGTCTCGATGATCTTACGGGTCTTTTCCAACCTTAATGATTCTGGTGCTGGGCCTGAGGCTGGAAGCAGCAGCTCTGCCCGGTGCTCTGCAGCCGGTGCCGCTGGGCTCGGCAGCGACCGAGAGCTATCCCGGGAATCGGCCGCCTCCCGAGCGCAGAGCCCGGCTTGCAGCGCTGCTCCAAGAGATCCGGCGGAAAACGCCGCTAATCCCGCCTGAACTCCACGCGCAAAACTTCACCGCCGAGCTCAGGCTGCAAACTGTGCCTGAATCAGGTGTTTGCGAGGCGGTCGCAGGCAGTGCGGGTGTCGGGGGCTGGTTTCTGGCCCCCCTGTTGGCACACAACGAGTATCCCGGCGTGTTGCTGGCCCGGGCTGCAGCACCGGGGCTGCCAGAGGCGCTTCCTGCGTTTGTAAGGGCGGGGAAGATGCGTGTGCTGGAAGTTTGTGATAAAAGTAGTGGATACGCAGGACATGCTGTGTTTTGGGAGTTTCCTTCTGGAAATTTTAGACACCCTGTTATTGTGACAGCTTCCAAGTATGGACATTAAAAAAGAGGCAACTGGCACTGCTAAGCCTGTACAAACCAGGCTTTTTTGGCAGCAATGGGCAGCAATCTACAGCTGCCATGACTGTAGATTAGAATGTTCGGGGTCCAGGGTATATGTACTAAGCTGGAGTGAAACATGCAATGCAATTCCTATTTTTTGCTTATGCTGTGCAGTAATACTAATGTAACCATGGGTTAAAACCGCCCTGCTCTGCAAAGAGTGCCAGACTTTTGGGAAGCTGGGGAGAAGCAATGAGGTGAGTGATGGCCAAGCATATGAAATTTGCTTCTTGGTATAGTCTGTCTGCTTTGGCTGGTGGTAGCTTGTTCTCCTGCACCTTTAGGAGATTAACTTGGTTCAGTGTCTCTAGAGGCTGATGATTCCCTAAGTGCAACTGGTGCCAGGTGTGTGCAATGGTATGTGGGTACAGAAGGCTGCACGGGTCCGGTGATTGATGGTAAATGCAGGCGCTCCAAGGAAAAATATCCATTTGAATTTTTTTGAGGGGGGTTGTATGTTTTTAAAAGTTCTTATTCCACTTCTTTCTGTCTTCAGAAGGAGGTAAAGCCCAAGCAAGCTACCTGAAATCCCATATCTTCACCTGCTAGGACGAGTGGGTGCTGGAGGAGGTGAGCTGGTACTTAGAGCCTGACCTGTGCCATGTGGGAGAGGGACAAGCCTGGGGAAATACAAAGAGATAAGATCTGCACCCAAGCCTTTGGAGGCACACTCATTTCAAAACCATGCCTGTTCACAGAGAGGGGTTATTATTGCTCCTTGTCTCTGGTGCATGGCTTTGTATAAGCTGCTTTATTTTCTGTAGGCCTTACTGCTCCTGCAAGTGAGATGGAGTTACTTCCCTTTGCGGTGAGGCTGTGAAAGAATGTAGTCCTTGCACAAAGCCAAGAAGAGAGGAAAAAAGAGACACAAATTACTTAAGCTGTTATCTGCTCTGAGAATAAACAGTTACAATCGGGCTGTGAAGTGGAAATAAGGTTTCCAAATCCCCGAGGAGTTGCATCTGCAATAGCTTTTGCAATAGGAGTGCTGGGGACACATCCCTCCTTTCTGGTGTTAAATGAAAGTTTGAGAGGTGATTGTTTGAAACGGCAGCTTATGATAGGAGAGAATGGGAACAGTGACCTCAGAGTCTGGCTCGAGCTCGGGAGAAGACTCTTTGGTTCATAGCCAGGCCAGGTTCAGGTTGGAGCTGGTCGTGGGCTGGCTGCTCAGGGGACTCTGTAGGATGATTATAGCACTTGGTCCACTTCCCAGTTTGCCAGCGTCGTGTCACAGAGGCAGCTTTGTGTGGATCCGGGTGCACGTTCCTGTTGGCTGGTGACTTTGGGTTGAACTTGAATGTAAATTCTTGGCTCTTTCTGGAGACTTCTCCTTTTGATTCTGGCAAGGGGAAGACAGAGACATGTTCCCTCTTATATGCACAGAGACCTGTAATTTGTCCTTTCAGTTTGACATCCTTTATGAAGTGCTCAGGAAGAGGATGTATCGTAGTCAATAGAGTAACTCTGTTTTCTGCAGTGTTTTCCTCCCGAGGGGGAATTAAGCTGTTTTACTGCTCTTTTCCAGGGCTCCTCTCTGGCACTGGTAGAGTTAATAGAAGTGGAGCCCTTTGCTGCTCACTGCTGTGTGTCTTGGAAAAGCCAAAGTCTCTGGCAGGCCTGTGTGCATGTCCTGGAAAGCAGGCTAGAGCCCTTGGGGTGCTCTCAGTAAAGCTGCATTATGATGGTGGCTTTGAGGAAGAGCCCTCCTTCCCTTTGCCCCAGGAATGTGTGTGCCACACACAGTGTCCCATTTGCTCCTGTCACTGCTGCTGAGAGGGCGATTTGTCCATGCCTGGGCTGGGACAGCTTTGCAGGAATGTCAGCAGGCTGCTGTGCTGCCTGGGGCTGTGGAACCTGCTGGGTATAGGGATAGCAGAAAAGGATGCTCCGTGCAGCTTTCCAGGCTTGCTGCATTCCAGCCAGCCTAGAGGTCTCAAGCAGCGTTGGAAACACAGCGTGCTGGGATTATGTGCGCAGTGGGCACCCTATTCATCCAGAGTGGGAAGCAGTCCCTGCCCTGAGCAGCTAAACGGGCTCAAAAGCAAGAACAGATTTGGGCAAAACGCAAACCCAGGAGTGTGCCAAGCAGAAGGCTTGGCAGCGTCCCTCCATTATCTTCTGCTGCTGGACGGAGATGCTTGGCTTGAAGTGCTGACGCACATATGTAATTTGGCCCTTCTTTAACTCCATGCTCATCTCTCTGGGTGTTTCTTCTTAGGTCTGCTCCATCCTCAGTCTTGACTAGCTAAACGTAGAGAATTACTGCTGAGTAATACCTGCTTCTTGCTCTGCAGACTCTAAAACGTTATGTCTGCAGTTCCTCCAGCTCCTCTTCACAGGCAGAATAAGAGCCTGGCTCCAGAAAAGGCACTTTTTGGTGTTGCAGTGCAAAGCTATGTGTTGGGCCACGACTGCTGAAATTCTGGCTCTCCCTAGTTCCAGATTGTAAATAAATACACCAGGGTGGAGAAACCCTAAGCCTTCAGATCTGTGTTTTCTGTCTTTTGGGACAAGCTGACCTAATGCTTCAACATGCAACAATATCTGGTATTGTTCCTGTTTGTAACTAAATTCTTGTCTAATATTTCAAACCTGGACTTTGGTTGTTAAAATCTGGCACCCCTGAGACACAAGCACAGCCACGCAGGGGGCTCCTTACCAGGTCATTTGCTGCAAGGCTGTGCTGAGCACCTTCTCCTTGGGAACGACAGAGCTCAGCACTTCTCATATCTGAACTCGAGTTCTTCTGTATCTCTCTGCAGGGTGGGGTTGGTGCTGTTTAGGGGTGATGTGAATTGGCTGGGGAGCAACCTCTGTGTTTTGGAGACCCAGCCTTCATTTTGAAAAGTTTTTCAGGGCAGCTTGTCCTGAAGTGGCTTTGTTTTTCAGAGCTGCTGTTTGCAGGGTTTGTTCTGAAGTCATTGGAAAGATTTGGGATGGCTGCAGAAAGGGCAGTTCTTGTTTTCTATCGTAGGTGCTGTTCTGTGTTTACAATCAGGGCCTGGACTGTGCTTGGAGGGGAGGAGGACATTGGAATGATTACTTTTAGCTCCTCACTTTGCTATGTTGTTCTTCCCTGGCTGGAGGCACCGGCTCCTTGATGGCTGAGGGAGAGAACAAGGCTGTTTTGCCAACCTGCCTCTGCATGCAGCCTTGGACCACAAAACATGCAGCAGGGTGGGGAGATGGATCTCCCTTGAGCATCTTGCTGGTGGAAAGGGGCTGGGAGACACGTGGAAAGCAAGGTAGCAGTGAAAAGATGGGACTGGTTGAAGTAAAAAAACCAAACCTGCTGCACCTTCTAGAACAGATGATCTGAGGTGCCCTTTTAACAGTGATTTCGTGCCTGTCTTTGGTGATCAAGAGTCTAGTGATGAGTGTGATAGAAATATAAATTACGTTAAACGAGGAAAAGAGGTCCCAAGTCAAGTGTCTGAACAGGAACACAGATTTACCAGAGCATCCTTAATCTCAGAAATCATTCAGTTAAAAATAATTACTCCTTTAGATTTTTATTGATGAGTGGCTCTTATCAGGGCTGTGTCCCTTTGGGGGTTTTTGTAAGAAAACTCTTTGTGTAATCTCTGTTCCTGACAAAATGAAGTAGCTATCAAGAAAGGTTGTGGAGGGAACATCTACTGGGTGCCTTCACACTTATCTACACAGAGTAGATAAGATGGTGTGTTCAGGTCAGTGATATTCTCTCAGCAGGGACTTGCTTTAGGCACTGAGACAGTGGCATCTTCAGCCCTGTGTTTATAACTCCAATAAAGAATTTGTTTTCAGCACAGAGCACCTTCACGGGGAGATAAGACCACATTGTGATATCACAATTTAAAATCATGGATTAAGCCTTCTTTTTTCTTGTGTGTTAGATATGTCTAAAATTCAAGGGGGTGGTTGGCTCTGCATACTTCCTGTATACGGTTGTATATTTTAATACTCTCAAACTTGCTTCTGTGAACTCTAGGCCTGAAATCATTGTATTTTATTTATTTTTTTAAATTAAAACAGAGCTTTTCTTGAAATCATGTGATTCCAGAAGCTTGAGATTGATAAAAAGCCACGATTGCTATGAAACTGATAAAATTGCAACACATCGTGCCTCCTCTTGGCCAGTTAACTCTTCTCCACAGGGTCTCTCTGGGTACTCTCAGAGTTCTCCCTGTGTGAAAATGGGCATGGCTGGCCCCACAACAAGTCTTGATTGTGCCAGGTCATTCTCTCCAAAGCAGAGGGATTAAGGGCTCAACTGACTTTTTTTTTTCTCATGCCTTTCCAGGATCCTGCTCTGCAGCACAATGCTGGATCCCAAGCCTCACTCTGTGAGTCAGAGGTGAATCCAGGTGAAAGTCAGCTACCACAGTAGGAGTCAGGATGACCAAAGCACGGCTCCTCCGTCTCTCTGTGGTGCTGGTCTCCATCTTCATGATCCTCCTGATCATTGTGTACTGGGACAACGTGGGGACAGCTCACTTCTACCTGCACATGTCCTTCTCCAGGCCTCGTTCCCCAGGAGCCATCCCTGGTATCACGGCAGGTGAAGACTGGGAAGCCTTGCCAGATGTAGATGAATTTTTGGCAAAGCTTCTTAGTTCGAGCCTGAGACAGAACAACTCTACCCCCCGAAAGACAGAGCAGCTCCTTGTCCAGGGCTCCAACAAGCCTGTGGTGAGTAATTTGGAGGAGAAGGTGCGGGGCTATGACTGGTCTACGCACAAGGACAGGAACAGCCTGGACCAAGAGAAGCTGCAGGTGGAGAGGCAGAGAACGCTGCGGGAGTTTTGTGCCAATTCCAGCTTCACCTTTCCCACCAAGGAGCGCTCCTTTGATGACATCCCAAACTACGAGCTCAACCACCTGATCGTGGATGACCGCCACGGCATCATCTACTGCTACGTGCCCAAGGTGGCCTGCACCAACTGGAAACGAGTGATGATTGTGCTCAGTGAGAGCCTCCTGGACCAGGGCGTCCCGTACCGGAACCCTCTGGACATCCCCCGGGAACACGTCCACAACACCAGCACCCACCTGACGTTCAACAAATTCTGGCGCCGCTACGGGAAGTTCTCCCGGCACCTCATGAAGATCAAGCTGAAGAAGTACACCAAGTTCCTCTTTGTGCGGGACCCTTTTGTCCGCCTCATCTCCGCCTTCCGCAGCAAATTTGAGCTGGAGAACGAGGAGTTCTACCGGCGTTTCGCCATCCCCATGTTAAAGCTCTACTCCAACCACACCAACCTCCCCACCTCCGTTAGCGAGGCCTTCGGGGCAGGCCTCAAAGTCTCCTTTTCTGACTTCATCCAGTACTTACTGGATCCCAGGACAGAGAAGATGACCCCCTTCAATGAGCACTGGAGGCAGATTTACCGCCTGTGCCACCCGTGCCAGATAGACTATGATTTCATTGGAAAGCTGGAGACGCTGGATGAGGATGCTGCTTATTTATTGCAGCTCCTCAAAGTGGACAGGCTGCTTCGCTTCCCACCCAGCTACAGGAACAGGACTGCCAGCAGCTGGGAAGATAACTGGTTTGCCAAAATCCCACTGGCTTGGAGGCAGCAGCTCTACAAGCTTTATGAAGCAGATTTTGTACTCTTTGGCTACCCCAAGCCAGAAAACTTGCTTAAAGACTAAAAGTGATTGGGCAGTGGGTGTGGGAGGGAACATCTGAAATACCAAAAATGTTTAAAGCCTCCTCATTTTTGCTCTTAACTCCCTTCCCCATACAGGTTGGTACAATGGAATATATTTTTTCTACTGCTTCCCCTTCCATTTTTGCAATAATGTCAGAATCCAGGGTATTCCAGCCAGCTGTGCATATGCAAAAAATGCCATTTTTTTGGTTATCATTGGTCTTCTGTTTTTTAAAAAGTCCCCATATTTTGCAATGAGTCGCTGCCCTTGGTCACTCTGCCAACTGTGTCCTTCAGTAGCTTTTTATTAATACTTTTTAAAAATTAATATATTTAAGATATTTAATACAAAGCGTGTGTCGTGGCAAAGGAAGGGAAGGAATAAAAAAAAAAACAGTAAAAGAAAACCCCAAGAAATTATGCACCTGCCTCTGTGTGTTGTCTCAGGGCTGCTGTTTTGGAGGTCTGAGGTTTGCAGAGCACTCAGATCTCTCTGGAAGCTGGGATGTTGGTGGTGCCTTCACCAGCCAGGTCTGCTGGTGGTCAGCTCCGAGCTGGCTCAAGGCAGATGGGATGGGTCAGTGCCTGACTCTGCCAAACAGTCCTGGAAGAGCGCCAGGGCTCCGGTGACGTGTGCTGCTCACAGCTGGTGAGCCTGACGCCAGGGTCACGGGAAGGAAATAGTGCTGGGAGCAGTGACACCAAGCCTGTGAGGTGCTTCGGGACGTGCAGGTGGCCAACACAGCACCTCTGCACTGCCTCACCTTTTGGGAAAGCAGTGTGGGACTCTACTGTCCAAAAAGCTGAGGTTCAGCCCTTGTATACCTTGCTAGTGTGGAGCATCTCCCTTGACATGTCCTGTTGCAGGATGGTGCCTGACGTTTTTGGGGGTTGTGACCAGCCAGGAGGGGCAGAGTGTGCTCTTGGATGGCCCAGCTGTCCTGGTCACTGCTGTGTGCACTGCAGGTCCCTCGAGAGCTCTGCTGTGTCCTCATTCCTGTGCATGCTTTAAGGGAATGTGGCAGGGATGCAGATGCTTATCCCTGGAAGAAGATCCAAAAGGTTTCTTTCAATAAGCAGATGTCAAGGTGAACTCCAAGTGCGTTTGTTTTCAGCGTACCAGCTCTCGCTCGTGACACTGCATCCTCATCCACCGCCTTTCTGCTGATTCCAAGTGACTGGTGCAGATTTGATCATCTGCCTTGCTGGGACCTGCTGCAGGAGTGATGGTTCCCACTGTGCCAGGAGCATGTGGGCTGCTTCCCAAAGGAAATTAATGCCTTTAGAGAGACTTTTTGTGTCTCGTCAGCTGAATCTGCTTCTCTTTTTCTTTCTGAATTGCTCTGCAAAAACTGTCTGCTTAGCACATTAGGCAGGCAACTCTTTCAGAGCTGAAATGCTTTATTTCCCTGCACTGTGGATGGTATTGGTGATTAAGGTCCACGGTCAGGCCTTGGGAGGCAGCCCTGTGTTTTGGGCAGACTTCTTTATATTGGCCTTTTACTCAGTTCCTCTCCAAGGCCATGAGTGGGCATGACTTTTTCTGTCTCTCCTCGCTTCCCCAATTTCTGTACACGTACATCTTTTTGGCACTGCATGCTCTTCCTAACAAATATGCTGCATCAAGCTTTTTAACCTGTAAATGAAAGGTAATTGCTAGTAGTTCCACTTGAAACAAAGGGTTTGTTTCTCATTGTATTCACACTGCTCTCCTGTAATTTCTGCAGAGACATTTGCAGTTTAAATGAGCCTGAAACCATTATCAGGGTCTTGGTGCCTAGCTCCTTACAGCTTGGGAAAAAAGGAAGTGCCTGTTTCTGAGTCATTATTTAAAACTAATAATAGAAAAGTGTTGATCTATTCAGTTTTTTTCCCAGTTACCAGCTAATTGCTGCAAAACAGAAAGATGTAGAGAATCTCGTCTCCTGTAATGAGTAATCCCAGGAGTGTCTTGACTCCTGCTACATTTACATTTCTTCAGGGTGGGTTCATCTCACTCTTCAAAGATAAAGCGTGGATGTTTTCATCTCTTGTCTTTTCAGAGTGTTTATTTTTTCCTCTTTTAATTTCCATGTAATTGATGTTTAGTACGAGTAGACGTGGGTGGCTGGGACCGTGGCGCAGATGCTGCGCAAACTTCCTCCCAGCTGCTTCCCCTGCACCTCTTCATCTGGTCCTGTCTCTTCCTGCCCCTCCGACCAGGGCTTGGCTGCTGTACCCTGGTGACACTGCAAACCAGCTGCTGCCTCCTCAGCCACAGTTGTCCTGTGATTCATGGCCATGGCTCGTCCCAGGCAAGAGCCCAGGAGCATCTTTTCAAGGCCTGGCTGTCGGTCATCCAGGGCAGAGGAGGAATGGGCTGCAGAGTGTTACCTTCATTTTTGGCAGCAAGGTCCTGGTTGTGAAATTGGCAGAAAAGGTGCAAAATGGCTGCAAATCCTGCCCAGCAGCTGGTGCATGTGATGTGGGAGTCTGTCATCTCCACGTGGCTGCTTTGTGATTTAACAGCAGTAGAAGTAAAAAAACCTCCTTTCCCTTGCTGACACTGGCTAGAGAGAGGAAACTGTGGACACCTTTGAATGCTGCCTTCTCTCTCCCCATCCAAAGCTGGATAAAGTGGGTAAATTCCAGATTTATGTGCTAATATGTGCTAATGTACTGCATCATGCTGAAGTCCAAATGTGTGAGGCTGCCTGCAGGCTGCCTGCATCCCAATGGCTTCATCAGCCTCCCTGGAAGCTGCAGTCAGGAGAATGTACGGGTGGAGTAAGGCCACTGAGGGCTCTGTGTTCTCTGCTTTCCCTCTTTCACCCCACCAAGCCCAGCCTTTACTGACATCTTAGACATTTTAGTGTTTGCAGACTCGTATCCATCCAGTGTGCCGGGTGCTGTTGGCTCTTTCCTCGTTTTCCATTGCCACGCTTCAGAGCACTTGCCCGGGAGGAGCAGTAAAGCTCGGATGGGGAGTGTGCATCTTGCAGTGGTTGGCTTCTGGATTCAAAATAGCTTGTTCCTTGCTGCTCCTTCCTTTTGAAGCCCTCCTTCCCCACCCTGCCACCACTGTGAATGTATTGTTAAGAAGTCAAAGGGGATCCAGGCTGCGCTGAGCTTTGTGGTGAGACCACTGGGTTGCCAGAACTGGGATGTAGCCTCTGGCTTTGGGAATGTGCATTTTTTGTGGGTTTCTTGCTCTGTTCTCATGATGTGAAAGTGTGTATGTGGGGGGGGAGAAGGACAAAGAGTTCAACCAGCCATGCTTCCTTCCCCCCTGGTTTCCTAAAGGAGTTGGAACTTGGTATTTGACAAATAATGGCAGGCAGAATGCATCCGTGCTGGCCTGAAGTCAGAAGAGGGCTAAAAATCTTGGAGTGTAGATGGTTATGATACTAGGATTGATTTTATGAGGGGTGGAAAAATGCTTTGAAGCTGCCTATTTGTGTCTGAATAAACCTGGCTTTGTCATTTCATGCTCAGCCTGCAAAGCTGTGTCCTGTTCCCCTCCTGGCTTGCTTTTCCCTGGGGTTGACCACTTGGCCAAAGTCAGCACGGAGTCTCTAACCAGGCAGAACTGATGTGCAGATGCAAAAATAACCTGGGGTTTGACCAAGATGTTTCCAGCTGGGTAGAACTAAAACCAGCTTTAGTGCTTGCTCAGCATCGGAGCCAAAGTCTTTACACAACCATTGAACAGATTCCGTCCCTCGCTGTCAGATGCCGGATTCACTGGTACAGTGGGATTCATGTGACCTGGCTTTGCAGCCCCTGCATCCTCCAGGAAGGGGCTGTCAAGTCTCAGAACTCTTTGCTTTTTGAGCAGTGACATGACTTTGCCAGGGTAGGAGTGTCCTTAACACATGGGTACCTTTGCATCTCTGTATTTTTTGCCTTAACCCTTTAATTCACTTGTACTTAATGGGGACGAAACTGTAGATCCATTACCCATGGACAACATTTGCCCTGGGATAACATGAAATGAAGTGCTTTGGCTGTGTGTTTTGCATCCTTCAAGGTGGCACTGGGAGGATGGAGGGCAGGGGATGAATGGCAGCATTGAAAGGGTGGTGAAGAAAAGCCAGTTTGTTCCTTCTTACACAAGCTGGACCTTTGCAGCGGCCACGGGGGAAAGCCGGTGACTTGGCAGGGCACTGCAGGGCTGTGGTGCAGAACGGTGCCAGGGAGGGTGTGGGGTGTGATGGCATATAAGCGAGTCGTGTTGCTTGAATTTAAGGGCTTGCCCACGTTGGTCTTGCTTGTAAGCCCTCCAGGCAAGGGCAACAGGGAAAAATAAAGCAGAATTTAATAAAGCCATTGGTACCTGGCTGTTTGGGGAAGGGATGGGGAGGGTGGGCGGTGCTGGGTCTGGAGCTGGCATAATGCAGCTCTTCTCTTCTATCCTTGATTCAGTCTGATGGGGAATCTAGCTCGGGCTGTGCAGGCTGAGGTTTGTCCTTGCAGGAGCTGGGACATTTGGCTTGGGAGCTGTGGGAGAGTGCCATGACATGCCGGGAGCGATGCTGGAGGGCCCCGTGCTGGGATGGGAGCGATGCGGGAGAACCGCATTCCCAGGCGGGAGCGACGCAAGAGAGCCCCGTGGTGGGATGGGAGGGATGCCGGAGGGCCCCGTGCTGGGATGGGGGGGATGCTCGGCAGGGCGGCGGGTCTGGCCGAGCCTCTCGCTGCTGTGTCTGTACGAGGCGCTGTGGGAGCCGCTCCGCAGCGGCCCATCTGAAACCCATTTTGTATTCCTGGGCTCTGACAGACGCCGCTGCCGCTCCCCCCGGCCAGGCTCCTGCGGCAGCAGGAGTCCGTCTCTTATACCCGCTGTCAGCAGCAATTCCTGTCACCGATGCCCTGCGAGACGATGAGCAAAGCACAACCCAAGCCCACAGTGCAGTTCCTGTGCTCAGCGGGAGCTTTTGTTTGTGCAACCTGTGCTGCAGGTGAGGCTGTCTCAGAGTGGAAAAGTAATTGCTGCCAAAGGCTCTGGAAAACCTCACGGAAGGAGGTGATTTAAAACATATTCTGTAGAATCGTAGAATACCATGAGTTGAAAGGGACCACCACAAGAATCATCCCAGTCTTTCACAGGACACACCTGGGAGTCACACCATAGGTGCTAATGGAAATGGTGCAGTAATTTTAACAGACTGCCCCAGAGGGGAAGTGGGGCAAGTAAGTGGGGCTCACCATTTATACCTTAAGACTTGCTTTTTATTTCTGGCTTTTCAGGTGTTGGTGTCATTGCCGTGTGGGCTGTGGGTTTGGACCTGGTCCATTGCATTCGGAGAGAGATGGTGACCCCCAGGCAGCGGAGGGATGCAGGGTGGCAGGAGTTTCCCTTGCAGGGGCTGATGTGAATGATGTTACAAACCCAGGGACTCGTGTAATGGACCATGTTCTCCTCCTCAAAACACAAGGCAGAGCCGAGGAGCATGTATTTAATTATCAGTGATGATAATTGTTCGCTGTGAGCTACTCAAACTGTCTTCTGTTTGTCCCCCATAAAGGGAGAGGGGTAGACCCCTGTTTTCTGGAGGGCTTCTCACTGTGAGCTCTGTCCACAGGAGGTTTGGAGGTCTCCAGGAGGAGCAGTGACTTCAGTGGGAGTGCTGGGATACAGAGCTGCAGCATTTGGCAGCGAAAGCCATGAAGAAATGCCTCAATCCAGACATTTCTTACCATGAGGTTGGTCTGGAAGCCATTGGCATGAAAACTGTGTTGATTCAAGAAGTGTGTACGCTTTGGAGAGCTCAGGGGCTTGTATGGGTCCATGGGCAAAACAGAAATGCAGAGGTCACAGCTCACTATCCTGCTCTGTCCCTGGCTGGCTTCCAGGCAGCTCGGGATGAGAGGGAGGCACAGTGTACCATCACTCCCAGCAAAATGTCTTTCTTTATCTTGGGAAGTGCTGGGCATCCTTGAGCAGAGTGTGCTCAGCCAGCTAAGATGCCAGTGAGCGTTAGCGGGGCTGGTGCTTTTCACCTAATGAGGGGGTTTGTAATTTTGTCTCAGATTCTCATCATCAAACTGTGCCAGTATCAAAGTACTCCCAGCCTTGCCCAAACCATGTGCTAAGCAAATGAGGGAGACTTTTTCTGACCCACCAGGCGGTGCCTTCACAAATTCCATGTTTTGTCCCCCAGGCAGATGGATCACACACAGCTTTGGCAAAACCACATTTTGTGGCGGAGAAGCTGCAGTTTCAGTGTTTATTTCTCTGTCATTGCAGGAATTCAAAATGGATGGAAGTAAATGCCATTGGGATTGACTCTTGTTTTGTTTGGACCCTGCACAGGTCTCTGTGGAAAACATAGGAGGAGTGCAGGGGACAGAGAAAAGCCAAGAAGATGTGTCAAAAAGGCAGTGGTAGCCAAAAGAGTGGTCAGAAGGGAGGGATGTGTTTCTGAAGGATGAAAAGGGAGTGGAGGGCATCTACAAACAAAATGGGGATGCTTTGGAGTGGGTAAATGCTGAGATGAGTGAGAGGGGCTGCTGAGAAACCAGGTGCCATCTGCTGCAGCATGGAGACCTTCCCTGTCTGCTTTTCCAGGGAGGAAGGAGGGCCCAAAGTAGAGGAGAAGAGAAAGAAATGAATGATTAAGTGGCAAATGGTTATCAGAATGCAGCGGGCAAAATCCTGGGGGTTTTAATACACCATGTGGGGGCAGATTATCTGAAATAGATAAACGGTGGTGGGGGCTGTAGACTTGCACCAAACAGTTGTTGAGAAGCAGCCTAAAAAGAGCAGTGGGCTAAGGTGCTGCTTGCCCGTGCTGAGAGTGGAAGGCTTGCAGCTTCTCTAGCTGTCAGTCTCTGCAAGCAGGACAATGTCCACGGGGGGTGAAAGTGATGCAGGAGAGACGGTGCCAATGACCTTTCACATGTTATTGGGCACCTCTGTCTGTCTCCAGTTTTTCTCTCTCAACCTTTGCGTGCCTTATTGATTTCTGACTCTGTATATTTTGTGTCTTGGGTAAATCAGAAGTATTTGTCACCTAGAATGATCATGCTGAGAGTATAAAGCTTTTTACAAAGTCTTCAGTGACCTTTAGCTAATGGGAAATCAGTGAACTGAGTGTATATAAGCATCTCCTGAGTGCTGGGTGTTGCTGTGCACAGTGGGAACCCACCTTGGCATGACACAGCTATCCAGTAGTAGCCTGGGCATGCAGGTCTCCTGGACAAAGGTTCTTGCATCAGGTCAGGATGACCTACATTTGTGTTTCTTGATTGCCTCCATTTGTGTCCTGCCTATTGTGTGAATGTGTGTGTGTGATGTCGGGTGTCAGAATCAGTCCACAGTCTTGGGCAGGTGAACACGTTTGAAATGTTTAAACAAACATATATGTTTTTGATGGGGTGAAATATATGCTAGTGATGGCCTTTTGTTTTCTATAAGCAGCAGATCATTTTTGTGATTACAGTTAGTATGTTGCAATGGATTGTCATTTCTAGGAGGGTCGCTCCTCCCTGTTAACCCAGTTTTGTTCTTCAGTGCTTTGTAAGCAAATCCTTGTTGTGTCCTGGGGATGTTTGTGCTGTGCAACCACCGGGATGCTGTGGATATGGGACAGTCAGGCTCCACCAGTGGCTCTGGACATCCCTCTGGCTGTACATCCCCAAGCCTACTTGCTTTATTCCTGTTCCAGCCACCCTCAGCAACCAAAGAATGAACCCAGACATGGCTGCATGTGCAGTTTTCACTGCATGGATCCGGGGGTTATATCTGGGGCTGGGAGTTAATCCCTGATTCAAAATGATGGAGTTGGGATCCTATTGGGTTTCCCTCTTCTCGCTTAGATGCCTCAAGTCTGAGCTTTCTGGGTTTCTTGGATTCTCAAAATAGCATCAGGTTTCCTTTGAAGACCTGCCAGCTGCAACAGGAGAGAGAGTTCAGCGTATGGTGGGCAGTAAAACTCCTAGTGTTATTCCACAGATACTCCTGAACTGAGGCAATTCTTGTATTGATTTTGCATCATACACACATTTTCCTGTGGAAAATGAGGGTGCTGGGAGCCAGCCTGAAAACAAAAGCCCTTAGTAAGGTCACAACAAACTGTGTTTCTCCTCCACTGCACAGCACCAGGTAGAGGCAGAGCAGCAGGATGAAGCTGCTGTGTGGGGAGGGCCCCTTCATGTACCAAATTTGGGTCAGGTTGAGATCAGGCCCCCAGCACAGCCGTGGCTCCAGGCTGCAGCATGATTTTTGGGAGCAAACCTGTTTAAAGGAAAATGCAAAGCATCTTTCATCAGCAAGTGAGAATGTGAATTCAAGATGTCAGGGCAGGTTCCAGATGCTGTTGCACTTTGCATTTATTACATTTTTTAGAGCTTAGCAAAAGGTCAGTGTACTTGGACACAGTTCCTGGCTTTTGGAAAGTCTGCAGGTTTGGGAGTAGTGCTTTTCATTTTATTTTCAATAAGAAAACAGCCTGCTTGCAAGGTTTGCCTTTGGAATTGAGATGCCAGTGAAATTTAGCTCTCATTATTTTAGGATAAAAAGACAACTAGGGACAAGATTTTTAGGGGGGAAGGTATGGTGGGTTTGGTTTATTTTTTCTCTCTTTCTTTGTTTTTTCTTCCAATATACAGGAAAAACCTTTCAGTATAGATTAGTTTGCTGCTGTTGGTGTTAGCTGTTTTTTTCTGGCCATGCTGATTGGAAGGAAATTTCCAATACAGCTTGGTTGCCAGAAACAGATCCTTTGCTGGAACATTTTAGTTAAAATATTCCGACTTGCTCCTTGCAGTGATGCCATTTAGTGTGAGAACACCTAGCAATTGGCTGCCTTGTTCTTACCTCTGAGCTTGATATTTTCTTTATTTCTGTTGGTTTTTTTTTTTTTTTTTTGCTGGTGTTTGCTTTGGACAAGCCTGTTCCCACACTATGGAGACGGTGATGCCAGTCGGATGTCCACAGAATCTTTCTGTGTTGTACTGGGAGTGGAGAGCAATAGCAGGAGGAATTCTTCCAAATCCAGAGGATGGACTTAATATGCTGATACAGGACCTACATGTGGGCCAGGCACTGGAGGCAAACCTGGGTTTTCTCTCATCCTCTGATCTTCCTAGATCAAAGGTTGGGCTCGATGATCTCGGAGGTCTTTTGCAACCTAAATGATCCTTCTTTCTGGGAGTTACTGGACACTATGTATTTGCCTCCAGGATCTCATTCGGTGCCTTCCAAGTAAAAATGGGGAAACTACACGTGTTTGGCTTGATCTGCCTGACCCTGGCAGGGCATTTCTGATGCCATTGTGCTGCTGCAGCTCACTGCCCGCAGCTGCAAGGCTTGACAGCGTGG